TTTTTTTTTTTCAATTAAATAAGAATAATTATGGCTTATTGACTTATGAGTAAAATTAAACTTTTTTTTTTATAAAAGTTATTTTAAAAAAAATACAATGAGATCTATAAATTAAAACAAAAAAGTACCTCATGATAGGATACAATTCAATCCTTATTATCAATAATATTCCTTCAAAATTGATAATTTTTTCTTTTTTAGTTTAAAGTAAGGAATACATATTCCATAAAGTGAGGTGCTAATACTCGTTTCTTATGGTTCACTAATTTGGTAGAAAATTATCGAACTCTTAACTAATAAGAGTTACTATCTTCTTAAAGTAGGTTTCTTAAATTTGACTAATTAATAATTATTACTCTCATACAAACAAACCCGGGGTGGTTGTTAACCATGGCGATTGCTTTTAGTTGTTGCCACCCCTTTTTTTTTTTTTTGGGTTTTTGGTTGCAGAGGATCCGACTAGGGGAGGTGGATCCCAACACCCACCTCTATATCCATTCAGAAGTGCTCAACCGTTGCCACGTTTTTATTTTTTAATGATGAATAACAGTTGCCACTTCTATTTATTGTTTAGAAAATTATTCATAAACCATACAAGGTTAATGATTATTACTTTTCTTTCATTTCAATAATATATCAGGGAAAAAAAATATTCAACAAACGTGTCAGGAGATGCAGACGAATCAAATTGTTTGGCAAACGCAAAAGTATCATAATAATATTGCATACTTTTTCATGTTTTGCTACAAAAAATCACCATAGGTTCTAAAAACTTATGACAAATAAGCAAAGTCAAAATCCATGATTGTATGGATCAAGCAAGGCTTGCTGGATCCCATGCTTAAGCCCGTCAAAGAATTTTCAATCGTAAGAGTAAAATAAGGTCCTTCCTATAAATCTAAACACATACAAGGGAATACCAAATTAGGAGGCAGAAGAAATAATAGCTATAGCCATACTGAATTACTGACCAACTAGCCGCTTGCTACAATATCATGAATGGCTTCACTGACGGCTATATCCTCAGATCTAACAGCAAGTTTCATTGCAACCTCCTTTTGGGAATCAATTCCAAATTGCAACCGGACAAGCACCCTCACGTCACCAATGTAAACGCCAGAGAGTAGACAAGTATGTGACCTTGAATTGCTTGGGACAACCTCGGTGCCCTGAGAGCATCAGAAAGTAATTGTAAAGGAACATCACTTAAGATGTACTTGACCTCAATTGAATAAGTGAAAATAAAATGCATAAAAATGGATTTCGCATTCACTTTACTATTTTCTCTTTTTTTGGTATTTCCTTCATCAATATTTGAATTCCCACATTCAAGAGCTAAAACTAAATTCAACACCGTGGCTTCTGAGACTCTGTGGCCGTTGAACAAAAATTAATCATGCTACATACAGAAATATAAGAGACTTACCTCACAGGGCTGCATGCCAAGAAGATTAATGACAGCATTGACAGCTTCAGTAAGGTTCTCCCTTAGGCCAAGGCCATATTCATCTATCTTCTCATTATCTGGGTCCATACTTTCCCATGCATTCCTGAAATTAGAGACGCCCACTTTCAGCACGTAATCTGCTGAAACAACCTCAAGGTCCTCAAGCTGGTACTCATCTTCTACCCCATCATCCTCTGGCTCACCTGTGGTTGGGTCAACCTGGCAATACAGACGCACAAGATATGAGGATCATCCTAATATTTTGCTTGTTAAAATATTTTCTCCAAACAACTTTAAACTTCTCTGTTTCTGCCACCCCTAGTAGGATACAAGATTCTTTCTCAATATATATATCACTAAGAACCAGTTTAAAAATGAGGAGGTCCGGTAGTTTCCAAAATTAATATTCAGTATTCTTGACCTTGTAAAGAAACAAAAGGCAGATATTCTGCCTGCAAAATCTATCTAATAGAACATCCCCATCTGCATACCTCCCTCACAATGAACCGCAGCATGTTTGAAAACTTTCCAACAGCAGGGACTCCCTCTGGCTTCTCAAAAGCCACAAATGTTTGCCCAGGTGAATCATAAGGAAGTGATCTTAAAGGCTTTGATGCTACTTCAGAGAATTCCTCTGCATCTGAAGCATCCACAATAACAGTGACCTGGCAAGAGGAAGATCGCATATCAAGATACTGCAAAGCCGATTTGGAGTGAAGAGTAACTTCTTAATCAAATTGAAAATTACATTTTCCAGTAATTGCTCCGGAATTGTATTTGTGCAGTTGTACTGAAACACAACATGCCTATCAAAAATGTGCTTCACAACATTTACTGCATATTCTGTCTCTGCTTCTGTCAGCTCCACGGGTGCAGAAGACTAGCCATAGTAAAAACACATTAGCAACTCTAAATTCAGGAATAATAATAACAATAACATGATGCATGCAATACATTAAAGCAAAATATTGTTAAAGCACCTTGAAAAGCCTGCCAAAGCTTGCAAACTCTGGAACTGAGGAAAGCAGCCTCTCATAAGCATCAACAGTAGATGTTGGGCCACTAGGTGGAGCATCAAGACCAGTTGGCTTCTTACCAGGAGCTTTCTTCTCAGCAAGTGGCTGGGTCTTGATCTCCTTGGGTACAGAATGAATATCAAAAGACTCTTCTGAAGGCACCTATATTCAAAATGGACACATGAGGCTGTGATCTTCTGCAGATATTGCATCATAAATATGTACAAAACTTACATAATTTTTCAAACTTGTCTCCAGGTTCACAAGAGGGACATCTAGTGATCCAAAGAGAAACTCCTTTACATCTTTATCACTTTCAACAACGGCTCCTTCGCCATCAAGTGTATTCAGATAAAGAGTAGCCCTATCACGAACCTGCAAACAGGATAGAATTTGGAGTTTCTTGTAAATGGCTTAAAATTATTTGGAAGAATGAGGGGGGAATGTCGGAAAAAAAAAGAAGAAAAGAAGCCACTCTTGTGACATTCAAAAACAGGGAATCAAGAAGCAAAACCAAACAGAAAAACATACAAAAGAGGAAATGCATAAATGAAAATAAAACATGTTACGTAAAGGAAATTTTTTTAGAAAAAAATTCAATTAACAATAACCAACCTCATCATCACTGTCGTAAAGACAGCGTCTCAACAGAACAAATATTCGGGGCTGTCAAATAGAGCAGAACAAGTGGTAAGCAACAAGTCACATATTGGAAATTGATTTGAAGAAAAAAGAGAAAGAAGAATTTAAATTAAAATACCTTCAAAGAATCAACCATGGCTCCAAATTTTGCTAATGTGCTCACAGCACTAGCCCGGACAGTTGCATTTTCAAGATGTACTCGGTTGTAAATGTACCGTATATATTTGCTTGGATCTGATGTTTTTGGCCCTTCAATCCCAAGGAAATGGAGTATCTTGAAGTTCAAACCAAAAACACATTTAAAGAGATGTTAAAGGTTTGGAATAAGTAAAGAAGGAATACAAAGAGCTCATAGAAGGTGCTGTAAATTAAATATAAAAAAGCTACCTGTGTGGAAAGATAACTAAATTCACAATCTTCAATGAACTCGCACAAATGAAGCAATCCGCTCTCCTTTGCATCCGGAATATCTCTGATGAGGATCACAATTGAATCTACAATTGCTTTTTTGTACTCAAATCCTCCTTCCTCCCTAAGAATGTTGCTTAAGAAGTTCATCCTGAAAATAATAAAGATTGAAGAGCATTCTCCAGAGTTAGCTAAATAAAAAGATCATGTACTAAAGCCTGATGAAGAATAACATATGCCTGGTTCAAATCACTTACAAAGATCTGTACTTCAGTGGAAACTTTAAGCACAATGATCTTATGGCATCCACAACAACAATTTTAAACTCATCAGCGATATCAGACATAAAATTAGTTATTTGCTTCATTAGGCGATCAACACTGGATTCATTTCCTGTCTTCAAAAGAGTGGTGATTGCAAGTGTGGCTATGCTTCTGTTCTGGTCAGAAATTAAACTCTCCATATCAATATTGCAGTTAGTGACAGCCATTGGATGAGTCATTGCCACCTGAGAGGAAATTAAACTTCTCATAAGCATCAGCACACATTTGTGTGTACTTGCATCCCCAAATAAAAGGGGAACAAGCATTAATAGTTATTAACAAGTGAAACTGATTACACCTTTTCAAAGTCAATTAACATTAAACTAATCTTTTAACAAGTTCTCTATATGTTTTCACAACCAACTAAAATCAAGTAAGGCAACCACCTCAAACCATGTCCTAAGGGTCATTTATTCACTGGTCATCATTTAACTTAAGTAGTCATAACTTCAGCATGATACTTAAAATACTGGAAAGGAAAATACTGGAAAGGGAAATCAGTCAACCTTGTTTAAAGTACGGACAGCAGCAAATCTCAATACTGGCTTTGAAGAACTCAAAAAGAGCTGAAGAACGGTAATTGCAGGTGTCAATTCTCGGGTTGTAACACCATTAAGCTCTGTTATTGCTCTAGCAGCCTCAAATATCACCATCTCAGCCTTGTGGCGCAGACAGCTCTCAAGAAAATCATAGAAAGGGCGATCCCCAGTTTGAGTGTTAGAGGCTGACTCACGAATTACCTGTGGATTTAATAGTTTGTTCATAATGATCATCGGCAAATAATTTCAGCGAAAGCACAAGCTTGCTAATGTCTCAGGTAGAAGATATGTACCTGACTAGTATAACGTATCAGGAGGCACTGGGCCAAAGGTGAGCGGACACTTCCCCTGGTTAAACTGGTGACCAACTTACTGACAGCTAGTCGATCATTCTGACGTATCTGAAAGAATAGGAAAAACAGGTATTTGTTAAAACTTAAAAGTTACCCCATTTCAAAAAACTCTATAAAGATCAATCATATGAAACATTATTTGGCAGAATGCAAAAACTTTTTGCAGGTATGATCACAAAATTCCCACACAAAAAATTCATGTCATATTTTTCTAATATGCAATGGGTTTTACAATATTTATTTTACTATGTACAGTTTGGATTACCATTTGATGCAGTAAAATTAAGTTAACATCATACATTGGAATGGTTGGATAACCAACCACATAAAACTAAACAAACTTCAGAGGGAAGAACCCAAACAAGGCCCCTAAAAGTAGTCAGTAGAAACAAACAAAAACTTGATAAGCTAACTATATCCAAACACTCATCTTCAAAACAAAGTTTATTTAGCATAAACAATGATTTAATCACACTTTCGATTAGATTATAATCTAGCAACTTTAAATTCCAAATGCAACCTAACACAAATGGGCCAGCAAAACCAGGAATCCAGCATACCTGATGAAGCAAAGCCAGAGCATGAAACTGCACTAGGGCTGCCCTTGACTGCACAGCTTCCTGAACCTCATTGCTCCACCTTTTCACAATCTCTGGATTTGTCTGTTAACATATATATATATTAATAAATGGACAAATAACATATCATCAAATATATGATAAAGGGGTTTATGCAGAAAAAGCCTTTTAACTAAATAGAAAAACCAAAATCACCTGTAGTAAGTGGATGCCACTGACCAAGGCTGCGCTAGCAATAACAGGGTTTTTGTCAACAATTGCTTGTTTCAAATATCTCTCAATCTGGGTTAAAAGGGTTCCATCTGTTATCCGACAAAGCACACGAATGGCATTTGCCCGATACATATCAGTCTTGCTGTTCATGTCCTTCATGAGGGAGCTTGTCACAATAATGACCTGTTTGGAAAAAGAGTAGATCACTTAGCCTGTTTACTTGCAATTACATATGTTAGAACCAGCATTAAAAATGAAATAACAAGCATGAAAAAGTCAAGGCATTCAACCTCATCAGCAGAGGGAGATAGCTCCTTTATCATCAGATAGACCATTCTTCTTAATCCTATATCCCTTGATTGGAAAAGCTTTGTCACAGAAAAGAACACTTCTGTGGCTTCAATCTACAAATATGATACAGAAATATTCATTCAGCAACATAAATTTTGATCATGGTAGAAATTTTGCTTCAATCTACATGTGTAATATAAAAGAAATCATTCAAACGGATAAGTTATCCCAAAAATAGTAGAAAACATGGATCTCATCTTTTACGACAAAAAAATAAAGAATCATGATCCAAAAGCCCCTAAAAGCATATGATATAGGACAGACAAACCTTAGTGAATGTCTCTCCTTGGTTCAGCAGATAAAGAAGCTTTGTGATAACCTGCAATCACCAACATGGAAAAAGATGAAAAATATATCAACAAGGGGCAGTCAAATAATGACAATGTTGAGATAAACTGAGGAAACCAATAGTGAGATCACTTAAAGCAAAAACCTGAGAGCATCGTCTTGCATCGAGTTGAGGGTCATTAAAAGCCCTAGCTTCTTGAAGAACTGCACCCTTCTCAATCCCCAAAAATGGAGAGTACTCCGCTGTTCAACAGCAAACACACACAATTAACAAAAGAAGAAGAAGAAGAAGAAGAAGAAGAAGAAGAAGAAGAATAGCATCTCTGAACAACTAACATTCTACAATGATTTTACATAAATAGAATAAACAGCAGAAACACATGCCACCAAATCAGTACATGAAACCACACGATCCACATCAAATAAACTAAACAACACCATTTCCAGAGAAATTTGAAATCTACATTGCAATTTGCGACTAAAGGACAACAAACCAAATGAGGAATCAATATAACAAACCTCTTCATCAGATCAACTAAATCTGAACCAAATCTACTAAAACTAAAAAAAAATCCATAAAATTGTTTCTATTAATCATAAAATGCATCTTTGAATTCAATGAAATCACCAAAACTGCTCAGATCTAGAAGTTGGCAACCGATCCAACACTGGCAGCTTAAGATTTAGCTATTGAAAACGTATTACAACACCAAATCAGTGCGAGAAGAGCTAAAGAAAATAAGTGAATTGATGAAATGGATACCTTCATCATCGCGATCGTCGTCCTTCTTCACCAGAGGCTGCGCCATAGCCAATTGAGATTACAAATCAACGAGATCTACTGAGCTATACAGAATCTTCCTCTGCGTCTGTAAATGAAGAGACGTTGCAGTTAAATTTGGTGAAAGAGTCTGCTTTCGTATTTCTTCTTCTCTCGCACTCTGCCTGTGTGCCTTTAAGTTTCGGGAGAGGGATTGGAATTCGGAAGGTGCTGTCGCGGAGGCAGGGCGCGGCTCGAGTGAATCACGTAACACACATACTATCTGCAGCTGATGCCCTTTCGACCATTGGAAATATACCACGTCATGATGTGAATTTGCTGAAGTTGTTATTTTTTTAATTAAAAATTTATTAATTTTTGCTATTTTTTTTTCTCTTTGATGTAGCTGGACTTGTTTTTATAAAATAAAAAACCCTAATACTATATTTATGTAATTTTATAATTATAATATATTATTTAATAAATATAATTTGTTATTAAATAAATATAGTTCATTATTAAATAAAAAATAATAATTATACAAAACGTTATATTGTAAGATTATACTATTTTGTAATATTATAATAATATTATTTTTGAATAAAAAAAGTGATTTTCAATATAAAATTATTAAAATAATAAGGATACTCTAGTGATGATGTAACAAAGAAAAAAAAAACCCCTCTAGTGATTTTCTTGGCAAGTAATTTTATTATATAGTTTGAATTAATTCACATGATGATTTTATTTTTTATGGCTTTAAATTCAAGAGATTCTTAATTAATTCATTTTTAAATAAGTTTGTCTAACTACTTTAGACAATTGAAACATGCTTTATCCAAAAAATTCATCTAAACACACAAAAGGAAAAAATACCAATATTTGAGAATTGGCCTCTTAATTAGTTAGTGAAAGAATAATATTTGCATGTAAGTATAGTTGAAAGGGACGATTAGAAAAAAAAAATTTGTATTACACTTTCAAGTGATATATTAGCCAGGGACTTCCCCTAGCTTAATGTTATTGATAAATGTTTGTTCTTGAAACAGGTAGTACCCATTAGTACGAGTACTTACAAATTCGACTTTAACCCTAGATTATACAACAATCCCAATCAATAAATCAAGCATGGAAAAAAAGTTGTAACTACTTTTTGAACCCAACCATATTGTGATGTAATCACAATTTCTCCCTCCCGACGCAATCAAATGCCTAAATAAATGGCATCCGTTTACCAAAAAATTTCATCAATCTCAAGCTCAAAGTTAAAATGGTCCATCAAGCCTTTTAGAAGCTTTTTGAGTATCAAGGAGACTGTGCCCGACTTGTATTAACACCAGCCTCACCCTCACTGCTTGAGGAGGAGGAAGAGGACGAGGATGGATTGAGCCCGTATTCGCTCGTGTTACCAACGTCGGTGCTCGCGTGTACTTGGCTGTCCAAGGCCATCTTCCTAAACTTCTTCATGTCTTCACTATATGGTCTGGCTTCATCATCAGCACTGCCACTCCTTAAGCTGAAATTCGAGCCCTCTTCGGTTCTCACCACATCGTTTAGGTCGTCCAGTGAGACATCATCTTCCAGTGCACGCACAATCTGTAAAGTTTATCCAATTGCGATTTCGATGTGAGATTGGTTGTTGGTAATTTATATATAATGTCTTTTTCTTAACACGGTTGGTAGTATTGTGAATCAATTTACCTGACGCATTTTGGGACGTCTTCTAGCAGAATGTCTAATGGCTGCAGCAGCACATCGTACCAGACGTGCCATCTCGTGGGCGACGTAATTGTTCCCTAGGAATGGATCAGCCAGTTGATTGTAGTTTCCTTGTTCAATTGCCCGAGAACACAAAGGTCTAGCCTGTTGATAAAAGCAAAAACCAAGCTTGATTTTTCCATTTAAAATTGATTATGGTGTAAAATTAGGTAGATAAAAGATGAAAAATCGAACCCAGTCCACTAGATTTTCATCCATATGATCTCCAGACATATCCAAAGGCCGACGTCCAGTTATTATTTCCAAGAGCACAACACCAAATGAGAACACATCAGATTTCTCTGTTAGCTTTCCGCTTGATGCATATTCTGGAGCCAAGTACCTGTATTTGAATTGAAGATTTGTTAAAGAAAAAAAAAAAAAAGAACTTAAGAAGAAAATAGTACTTTCTTTTTTACAAAATCAGTTGTATGGTTTGGACTACACGATTAAAATTGTTAGATGTAGAATGAGTTTCTTTATTTTTGGGGCCACTTTCATCCACTTGTCTCTAATTTATAGTTAGGAATATGAAATAAAATTCTTTTTTGGTAACTCAAATTAAGTCATTTTGGCTTACCCAAATGTTCCCATCACGCGAGTTGATACATGAGTATTGTTGTCTTGAGTTAGCTTAGCCAATCCGAAGTCTGCAACCTTAGCTTCAAAGCTGTAATCGATTAAAATGTTGGCAGATTTGATGTCTCTATGTATAATGCGAGGATGACAATCTTCGTGCAAGTAAGCAAGACCTTTAGCAGCACCAAGAGCAATCTTGAGCCTAGTGGCCCAGTCCATGGGGTGACGACCCTTTCCGTGGAGGTGAAATTCAAGTGTTTTATTAGGAATAAATTCATACACCAACATCCTCCTATCTCCGGCCATGCAAAACCCAACAAGGGCCACAAGATGGCGGTGATGGACACGGCTGATGATCTCAACCTCCGCCTGAAACTCCCTGTCCCCTTGGCCACTACCTGATTTGAGACTCTTGACAGCAATTTCCCTGCCATTGGGCAATACACCTTTGTGCACGTAACCGAACCCTCCTTGACCAAGTAGGTTAGATTGAGCGAACCCTTCGGTTGCAGCCGCTAACTCCTCATAGCTGAAGGAGCATTGGTTGAATCCGAGGGCCACCGCTGGGTGTGGGGGAGGCAGGACTGGAGCGTGTGGTGTTAAAATGGAATTGGAGTTGGAGGAGCTCATCATGTCACTACTGTTCACAGTTACTTGTGGTGGTACGGGAGGTGATAGCCAACCTTCATTTCCAGGTGTTGCGCTGCCTATTGCGCCCAGAGGTGATGGTGATGGTTGCCAGCTTCCACGGGGAGGCGTTCCACCCCCTATTGCGGCCCGGGGTAGAGGTAAAATATTGATTGCATGTTCTTTTTTCGGTGAATCCTGCCAAATATTTTGGCCTCCAACTGGTATTCCCTTGTAATATCCGAGACCACCTGCCCACAATGATCAATTAAAATCTTCAAAATTAGTGTGGGATGAGAAAATCCCACATCGAGGATGTTGAAGCCCTCATGTCAATTTTCACAATCATGTTGGACTACTTTATGTTACCTTGGGGAGGATCCATGTAGTATGGCATCTGATCATCAGCCCGTTTTGGCTTCTTTTTCTTTTTACTGCATATCGCCACTATCAATATCATGACAATAAACAACACGCCAACACCGATGGCGGCACCTATTGCTGTCGTTAGAGGTATGGAAATGCTGTTACTATTTGAGCTCGGTGATGATTTCCCCTCTGAGGGAGGCGCTAGTTGTGGTGCCTGTGGCAAAACATGACTCGGTGAATTAGATGGAGGCGGTGGAGGTGGTGGAGAAGCATTGTCATTACCACTACCGCTACCATTTCCTTGATTAGCAGGTGGACTAGTCTGATCCTTGGTAGGAGGGGGTGGTGGCGAAGAAACTGGTTGAGGAGGAGGCGCTGATGTTGGTGGCCGCGGTGGTGTTGAAGAATCTGGTGGAGAATCTTTTGGTGATGAAGCCATTTGGGGTTTTTCTGAAAATGGTTTCTCAAGGTGCTGGAGAAACTACTCTGCTCCCCAAAAATTGGAAACCCCTGCCACCATTAAAACGGAACATAAGCAAACGATTTCTACATCAAACACGACTAAGAACAATAATTAAATTAATAACTGAATCAAATATATCGAAAGACATGGAGGGATCGAGATCGAGTAGTACCTGTAGGGAAAGGTTAGGGGGAGGATTCTTAAAGGCAGGATGGAGAACAGGGGTGGCATGGTAATAGTTCCATAGATGAATGTCTTTCCCCTAACTAGAATGGTTAGCTGCAGTGGAGAGATTACATTTGGGGGGTTTTATTGTTGGTGTTGTTTCCATTTGAGCTGCAGCCCCTATCTCTCTGCAGAAAAATTGCCCATTTTGGTCCCAATTTTCCTGTTAAGTGCTGGTTTTCTGAACTCAATATTGATAGCAAAATGCAACGCTGTAAAACACACGAAAGTAGCGTTGGATTTTGTTGCTGTGTCCTGCCCAACTTTTTGTTCTCCTGCTGTGGAGCTTTTTTCGCAATTTACTCATTCATGTCCATGTAATCTGTTCTTCACAGGGCATGAAAATGGTTAATTCTTAGCCTACTAATGCGGGTTACAGCACAACTGTAATGCACATAACCACAAATTTACCACTAAAAACAGTTAGAGCTAGTTTAATGGGTTTCATTTAAAGGATTAACACTTCAATTCAAATCTACTAGCTAAAAAAGAGGATTATATATGCTATCAAAAAAGTATAGTACATCGATCTGCACTTTACTTAATTATTAATATAGAAGGAACGAACCCTGATTATCGGGGCTCACCCTCCCTGAATGTTAATTTTGCAGGCATTCTGATATGTTATTTGCAGTGTGGAACTTAATAAAAACAATTTTTTCTTGGCTTTCTTTACGGAAAAGGAAAAAATTTTGAACATTTGCTTCCATTTTGAGTAGAACTCGCAAACTAAGCAACGAGCAATGTTATAATAATGATTTTGGTCCTTGTACATTAAATAACTGTAAATTAATGTCCTTTTACTGAAAAAACTTTTATTATGGTCCCTCCATTGCAAAACCCCCCTGGTTCTATTGCTTATTTGTCTGCATTAGTTGCCATTACTAGCTAGATCTAACAAATTTTTAAATTTTTAGCGAACTAAACATGCAAGGAGCCCAC